CATTAGTATATATATATATATATATCTTCATACTCTTATCCATAGGCTGTATATTTTTCTTTTAAGGGGTAAAATTGCTTTTGAAGATGATTTGCTTTTTTATTTTTTTAAAGTAAAGATGTTATTACTTATATATATGTATATTTTTTTATATTATATACGTATACTATATATGTATATGCATATATATACAAATGTATGTATATACATATATATATATGTATATATATACATATATATGTATACATATATATATATATATATTTAGAAGCACTTCAATTAGTAAAGTACTTGTCTCTCTCGGCTGTGCTGCTGTTTCTGCAGATGCTGCTGCTGTTGCTGCAGATGCTGCTGCTGCTGCTGCCGTTGCTGCGTCTCTTTGTTGTTGTCTTTCTACATTCGTTTTAATGTATGTACTTCTGCGCAGAAGACTACGAGCTCAGCGTAATATATATTTGTATATATATATATATATATGTATATATATATGTAATTATATACTTATGTTTATACATGCTTATGAAGCTGCTGCTGCTGCTGTTGATGTTGCTGTTTCTGTTCATAATTAAATATTTTATTTGTTTATATTCAATTACTAAAAGATTTTATTTGTCTGCATTTAATTAATTAATTATTTTATTTGCTAATTGAATTATTTTATAATTTAATTTAATTAATTTATTGCAGATTTAGTGTTCATCTAATTAATTAATAATAAGCGATATAACTCTTTTAATAAAATATATATATATATATATACATTTATATATATATATACATTTGTATATACATGTGTACATTTATATCTATATATATATATATATCTACATTTATATATATACATATGTACATTTATCTATATATATATATATATATATATATATCTACATTTATATATATACATTTGTATATATATATATATATAATTTTATCTAATAGGCAATGCTGCTTGTCTTTGCTTGTGTTTATGTGTAATTGTGTTTTGCTGCTTCATTTAAATGCATTTGTTATTATTATCTTTTTACTCCGTTTGTTAAATAATTATTTCTTTTAATTCAATTTGTTAATAAATCCAGGTGAATTATCTTCACAGATTTTTGCTTCGTTTTATTTATTGATGTTTTTATTTTCTTTATAATTATGCACTTACACAGATCTATATATATATATATATATACATATATACATATATATA